TTGTGGATTTCCGTGCATTGTCTAGGTCTCTCCAATTCCTAGTAAACATTTGAAATTTCCCTTTTTTTTCTTGTAAGAAATTATACTTCAGAAAATAATTAGTTTTAATGCGTGAACATTTTCTTACTCTAGTTTTGATCATCTTGTACTCCCCAACTAGTTTTTTTAGTGGACTTTGTTTTAGTTTATGTTTCGGCAGCCAGGATAGGTATCGGGTCCTTTACATAGTAGTGAGTGAGTGAGTGAGTTGGGTTTTACGCCGCTTTTAGTAGCAATATTGCAGCAATATCACGGCGGGGGACCCCAGAAATGGGCTCCCCACATTTTACCCATGTTGGGAGTCGAACCCGGGCCGTCAGCGTGACGAGCGAACGCTTTAACCACTAGGCTACCCCACCGCCCCCTTTACCGGTAAAATGTGCATATACAGAATGTCGATGACAAAAAAAATTGTTAACAATATATTTTCATGAATAACACTTCCTCGTGTTTTTATTATTATTTTGTTACCGTTTGTTTCAAAGAGAAATTTATCCAGGATGAGCGAAAAGGATGTATTCACGTTATCATTAGTGTACAAACGATGTACGTTTGTTAAATGTCGTGACCTCCACGTCACGCCACGCCAGGTATTATGGTAATTGATGTCAAAATTGCCTCAAAACCTTCCGATAATGTTCTGTATATACCTTTGAGGTGCATGTGTACGTTTGAGTAGTGGTCCGATAAATTTACATATTCGAAGATTGGTCGCGATTGACTAAATGACCAAACAATCGATCATGTTTTCTCATAATCGAACACAAACAATTTTGAAACACTTGTTTGCAATGACAATATTTTTCACAAGGTTGGTTTTGTCTGTTACATTTTATAAGCACGATCGATCCAAGTCATGATTGAATTTATCTTAAAGAGTCCATGAAAGTAATGTCAATCATATACGAGTCATCCTTTAAAGATGTGAAGTTTGCAAATGCATTATGTGCAATTTGCAAAAATACCCGAAAGAACTACATGTTTTTTCTTTACTTTTTGTGCATGAACCACCATAACCAGGAACATTTGATAAATGACGCTAACCAATAATTGTCGATGATTGATCAGTTGTAATTAACCAATCATCAATTATGCGATTTTAACCAATTCCCAACACTAGTAGGTTTACGAAAAAAATGGACCCAAGCAAGTGTACATGTATGAACATTGTCCTGTCTTACGTTGTCATTCTCTGTACGATTGTGTAGCGCATGCGTGTTGACGCTGTTCCTGCTATCGCTGTGTCCCCTCCGTTAAAGATTTTAACTTTTGTGCGCTAACCACACGATAGTTACCGATCCATCTTTTTTCAGGGATGGGTATGAAAAAATCAAACGGCAGATATTCTTGGGTACAGGATACGCCGTGCCGTGTACTATACTGATATTTAATAGAATATTTAGGATTTTGAGCTATTTTTTTTATCTGTTAATCAGGCTGAATTTGTCTCTCAAGTGAAATTTCTCTCTACAATATACACTTGGATTATTCAAAATGAACTTTCAGCCAATGACAACAAGTCTCTTTGTATTTTGGCAATTCCAAATGACCAATGAACATAGCTGTAGCAAATTAGGAGTCACGTGACCATGTGGGTAATCCGAAATAATTGTCCCTGCTTACTTCAAAGTTAATGCGGAAATCGAGTTTTGCATAAATCTCTGATTTAATCACATTCTGTGTTTTTACTTATCAAGAACGTTAAAATCTGATACACTTTCAATTCAAAACGATTTTACACGTAATAGAGCACACTTGAGGGTACATGTAATACCGACTTAGTAATCACTGTGTGAACCCGCGCTTACAGACTCTGGCCCGGTAGTGGCACTATATAGGACCATGTTTCCTCCGTCCGTCACTGTACTTCATAACCAGACATGGTTGGACATGACAAAGGTGAGAAAGACCTTTGATATGATATACCGAAGATGAGAGTACCGTATTTGTGGAAATCAGCGTCACACCCACCCCACAACACCCCCCTCCCCAACTCATCTCACGTCCTTTTTTTAAATCTTAATGGAGGTGCCTCCAACGTTGCCTTTTCAAAGGCTTTCCTTGTTTTAAATTGCATCGTTGTGATTGGAGGCGTGAAATGTTTCAACTTCACAACGGACGCACTTATGAATGCCCTTTTCTCTCCCAACAGACCCAGTACAATACAACGAGAATATGGACACTGGTATTCCATCCAAAAGGACGGGAGTTCCAGATCGTACCTTTGTCTGTGGATCAACCAGATGTGTTCCCCAATGTAAAGTTTGGCTATAACGACAGACAACTCACCGTTGTCATGAAGGTAAACTTAGCATATTCATGTGCAAACTGGTTCCAGTTTAAAGTTTCCAGTTTCGTTTTAGAGATAAACATCAACCTCTGGATCATTACCTCTATTGGAATATAATTATCAAGTGATTATACGTCGATGATTAGTTACTCGTTCCGCAGACACGGGGCTGCATGTACACTATTTTACATGAACTACCGTTATGTTGATCTGTGTCCAGGAACTTCTTTAAGTTACATTTAAAAGGTTAGTATAACGAATATAGTTCTATGGATATACAACCTCTTTGTTACAACGAATGCCATTTATGAAGAAGTGATTATATCCATAGAGTTATCTCCCTTGTTTTGATCACGTGAAGTATGTTTTTTTATGATGAACAGTATTTGCAATATAAATGAGCTTTGTCTGTTAACACATGATCAGTATCAGCAAAAGGACCCTACCTCGTATATGCTATTGATGAAAGTCTATATATGTTTACAGTTTTAAAAGCAGTTCATATTGAGGTTCTGAAGTATTTATCTCAGTTAGAACAAAAGAATGAATGACAAGCTTCAATCAAATCAAATCATGCAATTGTCCACATCTTCTTATGAAGGACAGCATTTAGTTTGATTCTCATCTCAACAGGACATGTCGTATGACTGGGGATACGAGATTGTCAATGACCGGAAGGTGGTTGGTCTGCAGTTTCGCATTCTGAAAGTCATGGCCGAAAAACTAAACTTCAGGTAAATATAAAACCTCAACCCCAACCTTAGAATAACCGCCGAAACAGTATTTGAATATATGTATGCCGCTATATCTATGAAAGAGATATCTGTCGAACGAAATTCTTTCCTAAAAGTATCATGTAGAATTATAGTTACATTTTCTGGTCATTTTATGTGCAATCAAAACCACTTTCCTCTTATATTGTAACCAGTCTTTATGTTCACAACAGCTACAACGTCATTGCACCAAGAGAGGACGAGTGGGGTAGGGACATCAACGGTTCCTGGACAGGCGTTCTTGGGATGCTACAAAGGAGGGTAAGGTAATTAAACATAGCTCTCGGCTAATTTTAAATTCAATAGCTATTTACCACGAGGGTGTAAGGTATGCGACTGTAGTTTAAATACAAGAACAATAAGAATTGTCTGGCTTGGAAAACTCATGTATATTAATTATTAAGCAGTGTTTAAGAATGCCTAGTTAATGCATATATGGATATATATGATACGAAAACATCAATAGTCTTAATTATCTGTCAAAACAGATTCCATAGAGTATAAAAGTCCGAAGTAGGGATGACTAATATAATCAATGATCAGTGATTACACCAGTTTTTTATGGTATACTTGCGATGAATATGAGAGGCATTTAGAAATTGGAGCAGTAGGGAAGGTTAACAATATATGAGAGTGAGGGCTGTAGTAAAGAAGTTGTTCATCCATATATTGTTATCCTTCCTTACCGAAGAATATCATGTATGTTTGACCCAAATATATTAAGACTCAGTTGTCCTCGCAGGAAGCTGACCTTGCTCCGGAGATGATGACGATCCACAGTGACCGGCAACCTGCTGCTGATTACATCCTGCCTCCTGTGTTAGAGAGCAAGCTGATGATCCTGTACAAGAAGGAGGCAGATGCCGATCAGGACCATCTGTTGGTCTTCCTCCGCCCTTTCCTACCTCACGTCCTGACCATTCTTGGAGTAACCATGGTTGTCTTTACGGCATTACTATCTTGCGTAAGGTACATTCAAATCAGGACTATGGCCTGCACAAAGAAGAATGCTGATTCCGTTGAAATACCCAGAGCAATACCTTCAACTGGAACTATTGCAGTGACGACACTGTTTGAAACTTATGGAGCTACTTTAAAGCAAGGTACGTGTTATTCCATAGCGCAGTTATAATGTCAAGGGGGAAAGTGAGTTAATTGTCCCCGTGGTAAAGTAATGATTCGCAAAATGGATATATATAGTGTGTGAAGCCCTTCCTTGGTATCCTTAGAATATGAGATTGCTGCAAGAGGCATACAGCCATATTTACTCACAGATTCCACATCCAATGTTTATTCCTATGTTTGATCAGAGAAGTTACCAGCACCAGGTAGCCTCAAAAAAGGATTCTTCAAAAAATGTTATAATATTTGATACTTGTGGAATCCAAAGTTGAAACAAAACGTTTGCACAATATCTGTAGAAGAATTAGATGTGAGAAAACAACAAAGAAATTTTGTAAACTTGACAGTTGTATTCTTAAATGATACAAAAACAACACACCAAGATCACAAATCCGTTCAAAGGAATTACAATGGCAGTCTAAAGAGATTTCAAATAGAATGGCATTATAGCATGAAAGCAGTTATTACAGTAGTAAAGATATTTATGATTATAGTCACCTCGCTACAGCATAACCAAGTTCTCAAAAAAGGTCACGGCTGAGTATCCAGAGTGAGTGATCTTCATGCAACCGTTGATCCTCTTGTCATCTGATATGTAATGTGAGATGACCAAGGCAAGAGTTTGCCTTCTTTGTTTATAAAATCTTCCAGAAGTTTCTGTTCTCGAATTTTGTCTAACTCACTGGGTTAGAATAAACTAGATGCTCCCAGATCAGTCTTACACCAAATCCAAATGCAGTTACTAGCCCACAACTGCCCACAACAACAACTCTATGGGATAAGATGCTTGATTGGCGTTTTAGAAGATGCTATTTGATGAACATACAGAATTTTCTGGATTTCATCATCTCTTTATTCAAAAGAATGAAAAAAATATAAAGGAGATGAAATCCAGAAAATTCTTTATGTTCAACTCTATGGGATATCAGGAGAAACAGTTCAATACAAAAACAAAACTGTTTCACGATGAACAACACTGCCACTGAACATGTTATAAGGTTAAGAATACTTTTTTACGAAGTGTTTGGATATACAGAATAACCTCATGTCTGCTTCGATGCGCATATACTTATGAGAAATTACCTAAATATTTTATATTTATATGTCCTTTACAGTTTTCTTAACATTTCACTCAACAAAAGAGTACAAGTACGCCCGTTGCAATTTTGGCTTCTTATGGACATTCATTTAAAAAAATCAGAATCAAAATAATGCGTGTTGATTTACCTGAATATTGTTATGTTTGAAGTTAGATGTTGGAACGTTTGGGTAGCAAAGTGATGACAGGTTTCGCTTGAAATTCCGTAGATCTGAGTTCGATTCCCCACATCGGTTAGTTGTCTGAATTGTGTCAACGGTAAACAATACTCATTCACGAACTATAGGTAGAAGTTGACTCACATTTTTATCTCTAAATAAACTGCGTCCAACCAATCAGGAGCTGGATCAACTATACCAGGCGACCCAGGGCGCTTTCTAATGGCGGTATGGTGGATCTTCACAACAATTGTGTCCGCTGTCTATTGTGGAACCATCATGGCGACGCTTACTGTGAGAATACAGAAGCCGCCATTCACTAACTTTGCTGAACTGGCGGCCAGAGGAGACTACAAAATAGGATATGATTCCTCAAGCATAATATATCAATATTTTCAGGTAAACAGTGAGTGAGTGAGTTTAGTTTTACGCCGCACTCAGCAATATTCCAGCTATATGGCGGCGGTGTGTAAATAATCGACTCTGGACCAAACAATCCAGTGATCAACAGCATGAGCATCGATATGTGCAATTGGGAACCGATGACATGTGTCAACCAAGCCAGCGAACCTTACCACCCGATCCCGTTAGTCGCCTCTTACGACAAGCATGGGTTACTGAAGGTACATTCTAACCCGGACCTCCACGGGTGTCAGGTATACAGAGTAAAGTGCATGTTCTGGTGTTGAATTGTAACACTTTCTCTGGACTAATCCACTAAGACCACGTAAGAGAAACATCCTGCCCCATGTAGAGTTTGTCACGTGTTATGTGTTAAGCCAAAATAGATCGTCCTAGGTTTCAGAGTTTGTCACGTGTTATGTGTTGAGCCAAAATAGATCGTCCTAGGTTTCAGAGTTTGTCACGTGTTATGTGTTGAGCCAAAATAGATCGTCCTAGGTTTCAGAGTTTGTCACGTGTTATGTGTTGAGCCAAAATAGATCGTCCTAGGTTTCAGAGTTTGTCACGTGTTATGTGTTGAGCCAAAATAGATCGTCCTAGGTTTCAGAGTTTGTCACGTGTTATGTGTTGAGCCAAAATAGATCGTCCTAGGTTTCAGAGTTTGTCACGTTTTGTGTGTTGAACAAAATAGATCGTCCTAGGTTTCAGAGTTTGTCACGTGTTATGTGTTGAATAACAAAATAGATCGTTAGGTTTCAGAGTTTGTCACGTGTTATGTGTTGCGCCAAAATAGATCGTCCTAGGTTTCAGAGTTTGTCACGTGTTATGTGTTGAGCCAAAATAGATGACTATATAATGCATGTATCTAGACTGTACTTGTGCCTGTAGCTAGTATGCTGTAATATAGTCAATGATAATGAACAGCATTGATCACATGAGTATATGATGCTCTATAATTTAAGAATACCAACCGGCCCGATGTCCTGGCAATTAGGCAGCGTGTTGAGGAGCTATCGGCTAGTGACCCTGATGTACTCGACTTCAACATGACCAAGCAGTTCCACAGAGTCAAGCAGGGGAAATATGCCCTCCTCTTGGGCACCATTTTCTCCTACTTGGGAAGGACAAGTAATCAGATGGAAGTCATTGACTCCAAATATGCTACAGCCTTCCTTGCCTTCCACCTTCCGAGGCTGTCTCCCTTCAAGGATGAGCTCGAAAAATGGTATACCCTAATTGTAGATTTAAAGTGACCAACCCACTTAAGTCACAAACTCACACAAACCTACCACCCCAAACAAAAACAGCAACAACAACAATAACACACACATCATTACAAATGATGCTTTTCGACCGCGAAAAAATCAAGGATTGATGTATTAGTATCGTCCTTGTTCCATTTCCAGCTCAGGTTTATATTTCATGCAAACCTTTCTGTGGGTATTTAAAAAACTGGCCCAATAAGTCCATGTTTGAATGGAAAAAACATATAATAATTACAAGGATCATGACTCATCATCTATTTTTGTTTCAATTCGACATATACAACTTAGTTCTACAGATGCAATAATACACTCAGTTTGACATTTTGTGCCATGACTAATGGACGCCGTGTCGAAGTTCCTAATAGTTTGCAATAAATTCATATGTCATTTATCAAGGCAACAGATATAGGTCCTGGTTGTAGGAGACACGTTTGGATCAATTAGAAAAATCTAAATATTGTTTCATTGTGCATGGTACTGGATTCAAGGGCAGTCTTGGATTTAATTTGGTACAGCTGTTCAGCTTAAACTCTCTGATTAGTCTGTATAAACTACTATACAGCTGAAAGTACTGGGAAAACATTAACACTATGGCTGACAACATGACATAATGCCACGGGTAAAATCATAACGTGTCAGTCTTGAGTATCCTAAGAAAGAGATTCCAGCTGGAGTTAAAATTTGTATTAATGGATCATTGAAAATGAGTGATGACACCAGGTGTTCGCGAAAAGGGTAAGCATGTCTATTGGTAGAACTCGTCATTCCAAAATTTGTCAAAACAATGTAAGTATTTATAGCGTGGCATTACTTCTACCATGCGACGACGGCCTGTAAACAAACCAGATCTATGGACCGAAACATCCAGTTAATTTTCAATTACGGCTACTGCGTAGAAGTGCGGTAATTAAAAAACCCGTTATGGAAATAACACATTGATAAACATATACTTCAAACCACGTTGTTGGTTTGTTTTTGTTTGTTTGTTATTTGTTATCTTTGTTTGTTATTTTTTTTTGTTTTTCTTATTATTTTTCTTTATTTTTGGGGTGTGTTTTTTTTAACTTAATTTCTTTATTTCTTTATTTTATTTGGGGTGTTGTGTGGGTGTTTTTTTTTGTGGTGTTTTTGTTTTGTTTTGTATTTTTTTTTTTTTTTATTTTTTTGTTGGGTTTGATGGGCCTTTTTGTTGTTGTATTTTGTTTTGTTTTGTTTCATTTTTTATAAATTTTGTTTTTGTTGTTGTCTCATGTCTGTGTATCATTTTGTCATCAACAGTATGTATTCCCTGAGAGACAGTGGCATGCTGCAGAAAATCTTTCAAGAATGGGTGAAACATATTCCCAAGATCAAATATCCAGAAGAGAAGTTCCCTCAGCCTGTGTCTCTGATCAAGATTCAAAGCATCTTCTATATTGTTGGAATTGGTCTTGTCTGCAGTGCCCTTTTCTTGTTGGTAGAGGTTATGTCTTGTAAAAGGAAAAGGACACCGGCCAATAATACTTCATTTAATACATGATTCGAATAGGACAAGCATTTTGTGGTGGAAAACTTTGATATATGGTTTGTTTTTAAAGGAAAATCGCACCTGCCGATGGTACTTCATTCAATACTTGATTCGAATAGGACATGCATTGTGTGGAAGAAGACCTGACATCTGGTGTTTTTAAAGGAAAAGGACACCTGCCGATGGTACTTCATTCAATACTTGATTCGAATAGGACATGCACTGTGTGGAAGAAGACCTGACATCTGGTGTTTTGAAAGGAAAAGGACACCTGCCGATGGTACTTCATTCAATACTTGATTCGAATAGGACATGCACTGTGTGGAAGAAGACCTGACATCTGGTGTTTTTAAAGGAAAAGGACACCTGCCGATGGTACTTCATTCAATACTTGATTCGAATAGGACATGCACTGTGTGGAAGAAGACCTGACATCTGGTATTTTGAAAGGAAAAGGACACCTGCCGATGGTACTTCATTCAATACTTGATTCGAATAGGACATGCACTGTGTGGAAGAAGACTTGACATCTGGTGTTTTTAAAGGAAAAGGACACCTGCCGATGGTACTTCATTTAACACATGACTAGTCTGAACATTCATTGTGTAGAAAAGATCATTTGATATCAGGTGTGTTTTCTTAGATTGGCATTCCAGAAGTTGGCGACGTTTCGACATAGATTCTAATGTCGTTGTCAAGCAACATTAGAATCTATGTCGAAACGTCGCCGATACAGAATAAAGAAGTTGTATATCCATAAAAATCATCCTCATTCTTCATCTGGTGTGTTATAAAAAGGAAAAGTGCACCATCTGATATCTGATTTTAATACTGGATTCGAATAGAACATTCATTGTGTGGAAAAGAACCAGTTTTTGAGATCTGGTGTTTTATAAAAGGAAAAGAAACCTGCCGATGGTAATGCATTTAACTCGCATAGACCATGCATTGTGTGGGAGGAAAACGTGATATTTGATGCGTTATATAAGAAAGAGGACACCTGCCGATGATGCTTTATGAAATACCCGATTTGAAAAGAACGTTCGTTGTGTGGAAAGGAATATGATATCTGGTGTTTTATGAACGGAAAAGGACACCTGCCGATGATAATCTATTTAAAACCGGATATGCATTTTGTGGAACAGAAAACCTGGTTCACTGGGAATAGGACTCAATTCGTATCATTCAATATATTGTACAGCCCAATTGGGGACAGACATATGTTCGTTCACATAGCCAGTGTTAAATCATATGCACAATATATTCTTGACGATCATATTACATATCATATATGCACTGTAAGATATTTTTGTCGGCTGGGAGTGGAAAGAATCGATGCATTACTTTGTTAAAAACTACGAGCAGGTTCACCGAGGCTTCAAACCAGCTAAACAAGGGTCGCGGGACGATGGATCTCATCATACAATTATATATATTTTATTATACATGTAATGGAGTGTGTAAATGTTTATATAGACGTGTCAATGACTGCATGTTTTTGCGATTCACTTTCATGTTCTCATTTAGATCATTAGAAATGCGTGTACGATGGGGGCTGGGTATGTTTTTGGACCCCTTTTTTGCAAGATTAGCAATATCAAAGAGAGAGTGCGTGTGTGTGTGTGTGCGTGCGTGCGCGTGCAGGTGTGTGTGTGTCATGTTCAAACACGTGTAGAGGTAAGGCTTTAATGTGTCCAAACAGTTCTTTTGTCAGGAGGACGACATCAATAACTCCATTCCCATTGCACAGTTAGCACGAACATGTACAATCATCAACTTAAATATCATCCTTGTCATGTCAATTTCACTGAGATATGATCTTTACTAGTTTCGGATATTTACGGAGCGTTTAGAACATATGAAACTACCACGGACCTGTAATACAACATATACAAACTATATATAGCCAGTTTACTCATCCTTTAACACGCGTGTAATGTTTTCACAAAAACAAACTGAGTACAATCTTTGTATCTCTGTTTCTGGTAACGTCATCGGCTCGTCTGTTTCTGCAAAGGTGCCGATTGGATGTGTAAAGTTTTAACGTGTGACTGTTTAATCCATCATAACACATGTTTCAAACAAAGAAACTCAACGTTTTCCTTCTATATTTATACGGTACATAAATGTACACAATGAAAGTGTCAATCAAAACACTTTTCAAAATATTTTAATTCATTTTTTTAAATAATCCCATAGCACAAGATGTGGACTCACGTTTGTATGTATGTATATTTGAATAACAGTAACAGGAGATATCGTAGAATTGGGAAATTAGTGCCAACTGTTTGGAAGGGTTCCATCATTACACAAATTAACGAAGCATTTATTGACATTGGTTCCTTACAGTAAAGATTTGGAGAGACATGTAAACAACCTTTTGATTAAGGGATATTGCCTGAATAAAATCGAAGGTCTATCTGGTCAATAAAAAAGAAGGTCATTTTGGTCAATGGCTATATTTTATCTAAAATTAATCATGGAAAACATTGACTTAATGTTCAGATACAAGGTTATGCACAGTAAAAGATAGTTGAGTAAATAAGGCAGTCTTTCTATTGGGATTGATTGCAAACAGTAGAACCTACTGTCCAGGCTCCCAAAACATTTGTACCAGACCACAGGGCTGATAACTCACTCACCACTGAAATATCTTATTAATACCGAAAGCAACTTCAACTATATCCCTGTCTCAATCAGTCATGTCGTAAAATATTGTAAATATATTACTTGATTTGTAGCACGCATTTTTCAATCCCATTTTAATAAATTGAAATCATCAGGTCATTTGGGATTTCCAATGTGAAGTCATTGATGTTATTTTAATGTATTGTTTTGGTTTTGTAACGTGAAATTTATTATTCATAATTTCCGAAAATCTAATTTTTAAATATATTGACTTTCATTATTACGTCTCCCAATTAGTGATGGTTATTAACTAATTCCAAGGTGTGTGTATCTTGAATCTACGTTGAGATACAAGGTTCTACACTGTTATGGGGGTAATTCACATGTCCGTGAAAAGCGCGATCGCAAACAATAAATAACGGTGGATCAATAGGAAGGAACAAATTAATTGGTATGAACAAAACTAGAAGAATATTTTTCAATTTAAAATTGTTTAAACAAATTTCGTCTCTGTCAGTGTCCCATTGGGTTATATTGTAGTTTACAACCATCATAGCGATTGGCAGTCAGCTTGTTTGTTCATTTTAGAAGGACGTTTGCTTAATTGTGTTTATTTTGGTTAATTGTGTATATTTGTATATGTACTCACTAAGTCATGGCTACGTACAATAGGTAAATGCATTCAGTGTCTTATCCATGCTATACACACATGGTTAGCCCGCACGTGCACATACACGTCTCATGTGAGGAGTCCCATGCCTTTAGCCACCTTAATCAGATATATACTAGTGCTGATTTATACTTAATGGCCCTGGTAATCAATATTCAAACATACACATGGCAACATTGAAAACACGGGTGCGAGCTCTTTCAAAGATGTCATACGTTGGTTCAGAACTGTGGAACTGGCATATGAATAAACATTGATCTTGATGGTCAAAGTGTGTGACTCAAATCTCAAAAAACAATGTCATTCACTGTGAACCATTCTTGAGTTGTCTGTTTATTATATGGCCTTAAGAATGAATTTGACCATCAATACTACCAACATGTAACTCAAGAACATTCGAAAGGACTATATGTGTGTGTGTGTGAAAGGACTATTCATGTGTGTGTGTGTGTGTGTGTGTGTGTGTGTGTGTGTGTGTGTGTGTGTGTGTGTGTGTGTGTGTGTGTGTGTGTGTGTAACGGAGTGATTTTAAGAAACATGTATATATAAGTGCGTTTCTATCCTTCTCAACTGCATTACTCGTTATACAATGTCGTCTGCTAGCACGTAAACAAAAGGGGATAACTCTTCACAAACTAATGAAAAAGGATTAACGGAGTTGTCTCTCTTGAATGAAACCAAGCACTTGATAGCTGGTCAAGGTTGCTTATACTAGAAATCCAATTAAACATATTCCTAAAATTCTCAATAATTTCTGGTCATACTATATATACACGGTAGCATGACTGAGCTGGATATCGGCGCTATACAAATGTTAGTATGTATAGCATAGGTCTTTCGTCTCTGAAAATACCTACCTGTCACTTTTCATGATGGCTATACATATACTGAGATATATCCATATGAGTTATGAAAAGGACATTGCCCTGGAATGATCTGTCAAACGGGTGCCCTTTGTACAGTGTATTACCAACAGCATTCAGTTGAGTATATGTACGTTGACGGAACGAGTGCACACAATTCTACTTCGAATTATTCGGACTCGTCATGTTCTTGTCCAACAGTCTATCCATTGAGATAAAAGGCTTACCGTTATGCTTGACTGGGTTGACTTTGCAAATGCAAAGGGTTTACATTATGTATGTATGTATGTATGTATGTATGTATGTATGTATGTATGTATGTATGTATGTATGTATGTATGTATGTATGTATGTATGTATGTATGTATGTATGTATGTATGTATGTGTGTGTGTGTGTGTGTGTGTGTGTATGTATGTATGTATGTATGTATGTATGTATGTGTGTGTGTATGTATGTATGTATGTATGTATGTATGTATGTGTATGTATGTATGTATGTATGTATGTGTGTGTGTGTGTATGTATGTATGTATGTATGTGTGTATGTATGTATGTATGTATGTATGTATGTATGTATGTATGTATGTATGTATGTTTGTGTATGTATGTATGTATGTTTGTATGTATGTATGTATGTATGTATGTATGTGTGTGTGTTTGTGTATGTATGTATGTATGTATGTATGTATGTATGTATGTATGTGTGTATGTATGTATGTATGTATGTATGTATGTATGTATGTATGTATGTATGTATGTATGTATGTATGTATGTATGTATGTATGTATGTATGTATGTATGTATGTATGTATGTAATCTCTTAATTTCAAAAAAAAATTATATTATCTTTTTGTATATTGTAAATGTCATTAGCGTAGCCTTTGTTGTAAATCATACAACTAATATTGTAATGTTAACATTTGTATATAAAGCATTGGTTTCGAGTGGGACTTTGTGTTTGTGATGGTCTTGTATCTATATGGCGGTAATATATCTGATCAGACGGTAAATGTTGCCTTACTCACTTGTCCAACAGGGCGTTGAGTGGTTAAAGCCTTCATACCAAAACATCGGTGCTATGTGTGGATCCCATTTCTGGTATTCGTTGCTGTGATATCGCCGGAATAATGCTGAAAGCGGCGTAAATCAATACTCACTTACTCTCGTCAAACAACTGCCTTGCATTATATGGATCACATGAGATCTTTGCACATTTACTGCTTATGAGTGAGGTTAATTGTACGCCGCACTCAGCAATATTCTAGTTATATGGCAGCGGTCTGTAAATAACCGAGTCTGGACCAGACAATCCAGTGATCAACAACGTGAGCATCGATCTACACAACTGGGATACGATGATATGTGTCAATCAAGTCAGCGGGCTTGACCACCCGATCCCGTTAGTTGCCTCTTAAGACAAGCATGGGTTACTGCAGATCAATTCTAACCCGGATCTTAAAGGGTTACTGAAGATCAATTCTAACCCGGATCTTAACGGGTTACTGAAGATCAATTCTAACCCGGATCTTAACGGGTTACTGCATATGAATACAACGAAAACAACTATCCCAGATCATCCAAGGAAACTAACAAAAAATACAGCAGAAAGGTTATATTTGACTTCATTGACAGAAATTTGATATGTTCACTGCAGTGAAAATATCACTTTGCCGGAACCATTTCATGTCTGAACAACGTTTTCTGTCAAGCATCTTATTACACAACACAATAAATGGCAATAAAAACATATGCAATTCACAAAGTTCATTTCTTGTGACGTGAAGTAGGTCATAATGTTACTCGTCATATTTCACTAGTCACATGAAATATCTTCTATTATTTGATTTCCTTACCCGGCTTCTACTTATACGGTCATGGTGTTAACGCCATTCATTATGCCAAGGTACGGGAAGTGATACAAGAAAACCTAAATGGGACTAAAGTCAACCCTGTGGGTGCCGTCACCATACAAGGCAGTCACGACTGGGAATACCCGCCCTGTGTTGTCCTCGGTGGGTATATCATACATGATATTCTCAGATGTCAACACTCCTTCTAAAAACCACAGTGACGAACGAAACATGTAAGTATGGAATTGTCTTTGAATCGCGTCACTCATCGCTAAATCACTAAAATAATTGTAAATGTTAATATTCATATTGTAAGAGATATTATTCCATGAAATAGGAAGAATTTCGTCAAACGGGACGTCGTGAATGCTCAAAACTCGAATAATTCTGACTTATAAAATATCCTTTGCGTAAAAAATACAAATATGACTGGCCAAAATATGTCACAGATATTAAAGGGGTAATGTGTGCCGCTTTCGTCTATTGACATAATTGTGACTCGCTAGACGGTCGGCTATAACACAAGGTGAAAGCGGCGTAAAACCCAACTCACTCACTCCAGCTATGTGGCTGCACACCAAAAGAACCGTGAAGATCATATCGATAGTTGTATGCCCTGGTTTGTGTCGACCTGTGAAGTTCCGGGCTAGAATTGGTCTTCAGTAACCCATACTTGTCGTAAAAGGCGACTAACGGGATCGGGTGGTCAGGCTCGCTGACTTGGTTGACACATGTCATCGTATCCCAATTGCGTTTATCGATGTCCATGATGTTGACCATGCTGTTGATTCCCCAAAAGAAAGAATATGTAATATATGCCACATGTGCGATATTGGCGACGAAAATGTCATGACATTTTTCTCTGTCCCCTTTCTTCAAACGTCATCGGAAAACATATATCTCAAAATACGATGTAAAAATAAAATTAAATGTAAAGAAATGTTTATCTGTAAACAAACAAGTGTTTTACAAAAACTATGTACATTCTGTAATGCAATCATAAAAACTATGCAACCTTCCATATTAATCATCCCGTCATACTATGTATTATTTACTGTATATTTGTACCTCTTATGCTGAAGACCTGTGTTCGATTCCCCACATGGGTACAATGTGTGAAGCCCATTTCCGGTGTACCCCTTCGTGATATTGCTGGAATATTGCTAAAAGCTGCGTGAAACATATTCACTCACTCACTCAATTATGCCGCGTATCCCTGCAGGAGTGTAATAAAAGTTATGTTCAATTCACTGGATTGTCTGGCCCAGACTCGACAGACCACCACAATATAGCTAGTATGTTTCTGAGTGCGGCGTTACACTGACTGACTGACTGACTGAATTTGGTTTTACGCCGCTTTTAGCAATATTCCAGCAACATCACGCGGGGGACGCCAGAAATGGGCTTCACAAATTGTACCCATGTGGGGATTCGAACCCGGGTCTTCCAACGCTTTAACCACTGGGCTACCCCACCGCCCCTCGGCGTTACACAATAAACACACAAACATATCTTACCAAAATACGTTAAAAGGTAGCTCGGAAATAGGGGTACCGAAAAAAATGTCCATGTTAACTGAGGTATAGTATTTGAGTGGGCTAGCAGTACGAAAACTGATTGGTGCCAACAGCTACGGGCACTTGTTCATTTCATTAGTGCAATATTCTTGAACATGACTCAAAACCATTTGAATGTCCCCTCACCTGACATAGTTGGATCTTATTCTTCACGCGTGAGCTAAATTCCATTCATATGCTGGTTGACGAGTCATACAAAGGCACATGGAGGTGAATAGAATTTGTGTCTTGTCAATATATTTCTATGACATGTTAAAACGAAAATGTATAATCGACCATGATAAGTGGCGCTGTAAGAACGAGTTGGGCGGGTTGTTATCTTCTCCCCACATACAGGCATATCGATAGGTGTATGCCCTGGTTTGTGTCGACCTGTGAAGTTCCTGGTTAGAATTGGTCTTCAGTAACCCATACTTGTCGTAAGAGGCGAGTAACGGGATCGGGTGGTCAGGCTCGCTGACTTGGTTGACACATGTCATCGTATCCCAATTGCATTTATCGATGCTCATGCTGTTGATCACTGGATTGTGTGGTCCAGACTCGATTATTTACAGACCGCCGCCATACAGCTGGAATATTGCTCAGTGCGGCGTAGAACTAAACCTACTCACTCACTCTTTCTGTGTCGGTTAATGGGTACCGGTATATTAAGTATATACAGGTCTTATACGTAGATGGTTCCTTCAATGTCCCTGGCTGTTTGGTCCGTTAGCATCCTTTGTGCAGTGATTCTTCTCATTATTCGAGACCGCTTCCGTGGTGTAGTAGTTAGAGCGTCCGCCCGGAGAGCGGAAGGTCGCGGGTTTGATCCCCGACCGCGTCATACCAAAAGACGTTAAAATATGGTACTTGTTGGTCTCTGCCTGGCGCTCGGCATTAATGGGTACAACAAGGACTGGTCGGCTCGGAGTCAGTATAATGTGTCTGAGTGGGGTATTCTTGCTTCACTGCAGCATGGTATCTCAGTGGGCTAGCACTATAAAACCAGCTTAAGTCTGGGCTACTACAAGCAGCCGCACATACACATACACACG